ACCCCGGGCCCCAGACCTTCTAGACAGCTCCAGGATCAAATGCTGTGTGTTGACCTGGAAAGGCCGCCTCCTCTCGGCTGGCTTTCACCAGCCCCTCTCAAAGCCGCAACACGGTGTGTGCCAGGCTTCCATTGCTCTGCATTTTAACCGCCTGTTTGCTCTCTGGCCAGCATTAACACACACAGCTAACCATGTTATGAGAAGCCTTCTGCAGGTGCTGCTAGCCCCATTTTACAGACCAGGAAACTGAGACACAAAGAGCTTTCTCCTCCACGGGCACAGACTCAGCAATTGGATCGGGTTCAGTGAGTTTTCAGGTCTACGGCAGGAAGCACGGGTTAGACCATTTCTTACTCATCACCATAACCCTCCCTGTTCACGGGCCTGGCTGATACACCGCTGTTAAATCCTTCCTGTAGGTCTCCGTGAGGTCATCCAGTTCAGTCACTCAGTAAACACTGGGTTCCTTGGGCTGCTATAAGAAAGAGCAAAAGCAAGTATCCTTTATACATCCATTAGCTGACAGGTAGCTCCTGAACGCCTACTATAGGTAGCTCCTGACCGCCTACTGTATGTCTAGCTCTGGGCTTAGTGCTAGATAGTAAAGACAGCATCTGTCCTGCAGGAGTTCAGAGTAGGTGAGATTCATGGGGGGGAAAACCTACAAAACAAAACCTACGAAAGGTCATCGCGTTTCTCTTCTGTCCATAAAGTTATCAAGGATGATCTAGTTCGTCCTAAAAATAATTCTGTGCGGGCTGATCCAGAATGGCTGGGTGTTTCCTGTGGGGAGCAGAGGCTGCTGGTCGGGAGACAGGGCTTGGAGCGCTGCCCTGAAAGGTTATTAAGGCTACAGCAAAATCCAGTGCTGCCATCTGCTGGCCACGAAGAAGAGGCACCCACACCCAGGGTTTGTGACGCAGTCAAGGCCAGAAACCAAGTTCAGCCAGCATCCCTGTAAAACCAGATGTACGTGGTCTCAGACGTGTAGAATTTTCAACCTGGGCCCAGACATGTAGAATAGACACTCTCCAAACTGTAGCCTAGTTTTTTCTACTCTTGTCTGCCCCCTCTTTTCTTTCCTTTGTGGGGTGCTGAGTTTTTTGTTTTGTTTTGTTTTGTTTTATCCTGTTACTTGGGTGAAAATGTTTATCAGCTATAGTTCCCTGGTGGCATTTTCAGGATCACTTATGTATACTACTGTATCACCTGAAAATGCTTTACTTCCTCCTTTCCCATTTCATCCCCTTGCTCTCCTTCAACTGTCTGATTGCTCAAGGACTTCAAATACTGTATTGAAGAGGTATGGAGAGAGCGGACATGTGTGTCTTGTTCCTGATTTTAGTGGAATCACTTTGTGTTTCTCTTAAGTTGATATTGGCTATGGGCTTGCTGAAAACTGCCTTTCCTGTGTTCACCTGTGAACACAGGATCTGTGAACCTGTATCTCTAACCTCTCCAGGACTTTGGTCATGAAGGGGTGTTGGACTTTGTGTCAAAAGGCTTTTCCGCAGCTAATGAGGTGATTATGCCGTTTTTGTCTCTCCGGTTATTTATGTGGTGGATTTCATTTGTCAATTTACATATATTGAACTATCTCTGCATCTCTGAGATGAAGCCTACTTTATGAGAGTGGCCTACTCTTGCCGAGGACCTGAATTCGGCTCTCTGCACTCACGCTGGGCAGCTCGTGACTCTCAGTAACTCCAGTTCCAGGGGTTCCAAGACCCCCAAGGGCACCAGCGCTCGTGTGCACCTCCATTAAAAATAACAAAACAAATGTTAAAATGTTTACAGTATTTGTATGTTTGGTGTTGAAAAGGAAATGGAGAACATTACAGTAACTCCTTCTTGAGTGACATTTCCAGTTCTAATCCCTGAAATAAAAAGAAGGCTGGATAATGGCGCACACCTTTAATCCCAGGACAGAGATCTCTGGGAGCTTGAGGCTAGCCTGGTCTACACAGTGAATTCCAGGACAGCCAGAGCTACACAGTGAGACCCTGTCTTGAAAAAAAAAACTAAAAAAAAAAACAAAAAAAAAAAAACCTTTTATCATTTGCTGCTGTGTATTTGTGCTCATCTCTTTCTTCCAATGCAGTTGAGATAAAATATCTTGGATCTGTGTCTCAAGAGAAAGTAAAAATGAAAAAAGACAGAAATGGCACTGCATGTCTCTCAGAAAATGGGGCTGTCTTCTAATGGTCATTTGTTTCAACAATTCGCTCAAGGTACCTGGTACTACATATGTCAAACCCTGACTCAGCTTACTGCTCCAACTTCATGTGGTGTTTGTATTTTTTAGGAATCACTGGGAATCAGAACCAGAGATAAAGAGAGTCAGTGAGAAAAGGAAAAATCTGGGGAATAGATTTACCGTACTATCCTGGGAATGTAGACTGTAAGAGTTCCCAAGATCTGCCACCTACAACCAGGTGGCATAGTCCCAACCTGAGGCCTAAGACATGAGACTTGGAGAACCAATGCCACAAGTACAAGTCCCAACCTCACGGCCTGACAATCAGGGACACAGAGAAAAGGCAAAGGATGATATCCCAACTCTTACAGTCAGGCAGCAAGAAAAAATAAATCTGATTGTCTCTTATGCCACTTTTGTTTGTGTCCCCAGTGAATTAGATGATGGCCACCCATGTCAGTGACAGCCGTGGACTTTATTCAATCTACCAATTCAAATGCTAATTTCTTCTAAATACACCTTAATAAGCTCTCTCTGGAGCAATGTCTAACAAACTAGCTGTGCACTCTGTAGTATAGTCCAGATGAGGCACAAAATTAAATACAAATCTGTTTTTATAGAAATTCCAAACTATTAATCTATAAAGTAATGTAACAGAAAATTCATATATGCTTTGTACATTGAAATAANCAAATGGTTACATTATACAAGCTGTGAGGTTTTTAAACTTGTGACAAGGGACAGGAGGGAAATTCTACTCATTGCAAGGAAATCCTCACTTAAGCTTCAGAGTCACAAGCACTTAAAACCCATGAACCTTCAGCTGATCGTCCTTAGCCAGTCCAATCTCTATTAGGAACTGGCATATGTTCTTGCGCTGGTCACCCTGTAGCTGAATTACTTCTCCATATTCTGGATGCTCAATTACAGTACCATTGCAGGCAAATTTCTTCTTAAACGCCTTCACTAGTTTCTTTTTATCGTAATCATCAGCGATCCCTTGGACAGTGGTAAGGGTCTTCCTGCCGTTTCTCTGTTGAATTCTTATATGGATATAATCCTCAGTGCCAGCAGGAAGCAGGTCATCACCCTTACTTGCATCAGCAAAGGGGTCGAAAAGTGGAGGTTCTGAATAGCGGACATACTATACGATTCCTTTTCCTCGGTAGAAACGGCCCGCGGAAGGTGGCTGCAGGAGAGGGGGCTCGAGGGGGAGGCAGCTGAGTCCTCGGCGGCGGCTCAGTGACTGGGGTGCGTTAATCTAATATTTATTTATTTATTTAGGTTTTTCTTTTTCCTTCCTCGAACTCACAGAGATTCGCCTGCCTCGATGGCCTGAACTCAGAGATCTGTGTGTTTCTATTTCTCAAGTGCTGGGATTAAAGGTGTACGCCACTACAGCGGGGCTGGTTTCTTTCTAAATATGCAAAGTTTGGTTGTTTAAAATGCCTGTTTCGGCCGGGCGGTGGTGGCACACGCCTTTAATCCCAGCACTTAGGAGGCAGAGGCAGGCGGATCTCTGTGAGTTCGAGGCCAGCCTGGTCTATAAGAGCTAGTTCCAGGAACGGAACCAAAAAGCTACAGAGAAACCCTGTCTCGAAAATCCAAAAAATAAAAAAATAATAAAATGCCTGTTTCCTATTCTGCTACCTTTACTTGGTTAGTTTTCGGTGTATAGCTCCTCTTTCTGTGTCACACTTAGGTCATGCACAGAAAAGCCACTGGATCCTAATGGCTAGTAGGTTTAAATGCTATGATCCAGGAGTTTCTTCCTAACCCTTTACCAGTCGTTCCTCTCTCCTGAAGACAACTGTCCTCTTAGCTACTCAGCCTCCTCTGTATGGATCCTAGAAATGAGCCTTGCTAGCGATGATGAAAAGTTAGGATTTGATCCCTGCATGCACAAAGTGTGATGCTTGGTTAGCCTGGGAAAGTGCAAACCAGAGTTCCTGGAAAGATGCACGCATCTGGGGGTCTTCTGGAGAGCTGATGGGTAGATTAGAGCTTCGGTGTTTGTAGGGAGGTGGAATGTTGCAGCTCCATCGCCTAAATACAGTTTCTCTTCAGCTCTTTAGCTCCCGGAAGACCCAGTCCTTTTCCCGGCTTGGTGTCTTGTAACTAACAGGTGGAGAACCTTTATTACGTTCATAGTAACAGACTGCTATCTTCCGCCAACAAAAAGGCTGAGAACATTGTCAGGGAGCCTCCGAGGCCCACTGCAGAGATGTCTCTGTTTTGCTGTAACCTGCATTTTTACCAGTGTTTGAAAAGTGCCTTGATTCATGATTTTCTTTGTTCTGTTCCTAAAACTTCATGAACCCAGTGCCATGTTGGAACCCAAGTCTGTGTTCCCAGGCCGTGCGTCGCCTGTATTTTGCGCCATCTCTTGCCCCCTTTAAAGTGAGAGCTGTTTTCACCTTCTCTCTTCGTTCCTCCTGTGTATTAACATATGGGAACTACAGTGCTTGTGGCAGGGCTCGCGTCAGAGCCCCGTGGTCTCGTGTCCTAGCCCGGCTCCCTTCCCAGGATGCCAGCTTGCCAGGTTCTGTGACTAACCTTGTGAGACCACAGGGGTCTGTCCCAGCTCCTCTGTGAAACCCAGTTATATTATTAGCAGGAGAAAAGATACACAGTCTTGCCTTTATGTCTGGGAAATAAAGATGAATACTATCGTGAGTTAAATGTTTCTTACATGTTTACAAACTTGGAGCACGTAAAATATACCCACATCAAAAATTACGGTTTCTACTTAAAGCATTTATTTCTGCAGATGCAAGGTGCTGGTGGGATGTCACCCCTGGAAGCTGCACTTGGGCTCTGCAAACTGTGTCCTTTCTAATCTTGCCGGTTCAGACCATAACAGGGATTTGACGTTTGCAGCCACTGAGCGAACTGGGGTTGATCCCTGGAACCACATACAGATGAAAGGACAGAACCAACTTCATAACATTTTTCTTCTGACCCCCTGGCCTGGTGTATCTGCGTATGCATGGGTGTGCATGTGTGTGCGTCCATGCATGTGTACTGTGGCACGCAATATAAGATGCCACATGACCTTGATACTAGTTTTTCCTCTGTCGAGGCAGGAGAACAGGACAGGATGAGGGCTGGAAGACTCCGAAAGCCTTCTGAAGGCTGGAAACGCCTCCCAAGTGAGGCCAACTAAAACCAGCTTTTCTGCTGCTACGGCAAAAGCCAGAGTTCAGACATAACCCGTGCTTATTATGCTGTGGAAACACACCCACCTGGGTAGAGTTAAGATGCTAATCAAAGGTACAACAACATACTAAGTTGTATGTAGAACTGTGTGTCAGCAAGATAGGTGGGAAAGGCCGAATCCTTGTGAGCAGCCGCCCTTAGAACCACTAAACGTTTTCTTGCTCGAACCCAGCTCCTCCCACATGGAAACGCACTATCCCTTAATGGGCTCTGTTCTGCTGGGACTGCAAGTCTGTCAGTCCCTCATTCAGGGACACCAGAACCCCTCCAACCCCCGATATCGGTGACTGGAGTTTGCATAGACTGAGCACCACAGGTCAAACAGCCTGAGAAGGCAAGGGCAACTATGTAAAGTTAAAGCAAGTCGGCTGCTGGCCCGTGCCAACCCCGTGCTAGGTGTGTAAGATTCTAGGTATCTGGTCCCAGGTTTGAACCTGGAGGGGCTGGCTATGGAGACAGGACAATAATGGACTACGGCAAAACAAAAGAAAAAAATGGTTCTTACTGCAGTCTTTGCTCTCGCTCATGAATTATTAGAAAGGATTGTCCAGGATATTCACTCTCATCAGGAATTTGTTCTTTTGAACATCCTGAAGGGCTACGTTGCCTGAGGCGATTCTATCCCATGATGGAAGGCTCAGGACGGTCTGAAGCCACTGGTCTCCTATGAACTCGGAGGCTGAGTACCACCATTCCTGAGGGAAGAACAGAGAACAAAGGCCTGGTCAGTGCTCGTGGTCAGACTCCAGAAATGATCGCATGTCCTGAGCATGTTTTGTTTTGAGACAGGTCTCACTGTGCAGCCCTGACTGGGCTCACCTTGAATTTAGGCTGATTCTCCTGCCTCTGTGACTGACGGACGAGTTAGAATTATAGCTCGTACTGCCGCACACAGCTCTGGCTCCTTTGAGCTTTTAAGGACAAGGGAATCCACAAGCAAGAATGATCTCTTTACTTTTCGTTCTTTTGTTTTGTTTTGTTTTTTTGTTTTTGTTTTATTTGTTTGTTTGGAGATAGGGTTTCTCTGTGTAAACAGCCCTGGCTGTCCTGGAACTCACTCTAAACCAGGCTGGCTTCAAACTCAGAGATCTCCCTACCTCAGTGTCCTGAGTGCTGAGATTAAAGGTGTGTGCCACCACCACCTGGCAGTGGCTGCTGCCCCCACTGCTGCTGCTGCTGCTGCTGCTGCTGCTGCTGCTGCTGCTTCTGCTTCTGCTTCTGCTTCTGCTTCTGCTTCTGCTTCTGCTTCTGCTTCTGCTTCTGCTTCTGCTTCTGCTTCTCCT